CGGGCCATGGGCTGCGAGTTTGACCCCTCTGCCCTCAAATGAATGGGAAAGTTGATTTAAAGAAAGATATGGAAACTTCTTGGAATAAAGTTAAATATTACAAAGTACCACACAAAAGTGTGGAGTCATATTAAAAAAAGGTGTTTAATGGCTCTATGAAGTGAAAAGAAGAGGTGGATGAAAAAAAAAGTATTATTTCTGCAAAAATCAGTATTAAAAATTTATATATAGAGAAAAACCAAAATAATAGTCATTAAAATATAGAAAGTGTTGTTTGAAAAGAGATTAAAAGGGCTATATAAGGTGCAAAGAAAATTAGAAGTAAGAATGAAAGTAATGACATGATTTCGGATGAAACTGAAATGAGAGAATGGCAGATGGACTACTTGATAGAAATTTGTATGGGAATGATGGTGACATTTTGAAGAATAACCACATTCCTAGTTCAGTATTTTTTCATGTATCTTTTATACTTGTGGCCTCAATGTTTTCAACATTCTCATAGCACTGATTTCATTTTTGAAAACTACATCTTTGCCAGAAAATAGAAAACTGTTACCATTGTTTTCTTATACAGGTAACCCACAACTTATAATCACTCATTTAGTGATCATTCAAAGTAAGAATAGCACTGAAAAAAGTTACTTACAACTTACGACCATAACAGCATCCCCACAGGCATATGATCAAAATTTGGGCATTTGGCAAGCAGCATGTTTTTTCAATCTGGCTTCCGACAAGCAAAGTCAGTGGAGAAAGCTGGATTTGCTAAATGACCACATGATTCATTTAACTGCAGTTATTTGCTTAATAATCATAGCAAAAAAGTTGTAAAATTGGGCATGACTCATTTAATAGCCGACTTGCTTAGCAACAGAAATTCTGGTCCCAACTGTGATCTTAAGTTGAGAACTCAAACAAATGGAAAGCTAACAAGAGTGAGTATGAAACTTACAGGGGAAATAGTTTGTTCACTGTATTTAGGAAGTTCTTTAGTTGATTTCCCCTTTCATAATTTTTCATTAGCAAACTTTGAGAAGTACAGTGCAACTTCATATTCTGGTAAATAAATCATAGTACGCGCCTCCCTCTTAGAATTGTTCTATTGAAGAACAACACAATAAGGATACTATGCTAAAATCATTAAGAGAATTAAATACAAATAAAATGTCTTGTGTAATCATTAACATTACAGAAATAGAAAATATTGTATAGGTGCCCAAATCTACAGAAAATTATTACATTCTTTTGCAATTCATTTTAGTGGTGTAACTAATTTTCTTTGGAATTTTGTCTTATCTTTCATTTTTGAAGTTATATTTAATCATAAAAATAATAACAATAGACCGATTGTAAGGACGCACTAGAAAATCAAAGAATAACTAACCCAGCATGCTGTATGAGAAACCCTATAATTCTCAGTGCAAATCCTTAAATTGAAAGTTTTAAAAAATATGGTATCCTAAGCCTTTGTGGCCACTAGGCAAGATTAATGTAACAAAGCATATGGATTCAATAAGAAAATAAAGTAATTTTATCTAAATATTGTACAGGTAATGGCATTTCTAGCATTATTCTATAAATAAAACAGATAATTTAATTCCATTAAAATATCTGTAAAACCTCCAGAAATCTTTGAAAAGACTAACTTGTATTTTTTTTTAAAGTGTTACCAAATACAATGCTTTACCATCATCTCAACCTGATATTCTTGAGAAATCTAATAGGAAAAACTGTTAAACTGTTGAAATCTCTTTATTGAAAGACATTTTGACATATCTCAGGAATGCAATTCACCAAAGGATGATGGGTACTTTTTCATTCTTTATACAACAAAGGATGAAAAAGTATGTAAATCCAATCAAATAATGGAAGGTTAAACCATATCCATATTATGATAGATGTATGGGCCTTTCTGTATAATGTTTTACAATTGGATAGTAAACAAAACAATGTTTCGAAGAACTCTTCAAATATTGCATAGAACCATGCAGTTTAAAACTACACAGGTGGAAGATGCTAATTCTAAAACAGCTATATGGTCTTTGAAGTTACAAAACATAACACAATGGAAGTAATATCCTTTGCTAAATTTATTTGTATTGTTATTCAATTATTCCAGTCTAAACCAAATTTTGAAACAAAAATTGAAATATCTAACATTTGAAATATATAAAAATGAAGCAATTCCAAATATGAGATTTCTTTATGACTTCAGCATGATCTTGTTTATAATCAATTTAACTAAATTTTCTGTTAACTTAAATTTAAAAAATCACCAGATTGCACTTATTCTCAGGGTAAGTGAAAGAGAATTAACAATAAATTGGTGAAACCCAATGCTAACATGGCAACCTCTAAAGACTGTCACTCCTATTTTTACTTTTTCTCATTCCTGTAAGACTCAATTTCATTTATCCTTTCATCTATTCCATTTATCTTTACATTTTTAAATCTTACTATCATTACATGCACATCTGAGGACTTACAATAAGTCTTTAGCATTACTCTATTACAATTTTCTCTGGGGGGGAACTTAGATTAGAAATTGTACCATTTGTAGTAACAACACCTAGAGCAGGGGTATCAAACTGACGTTAAGTTGTTGTCACGTGATATATTGTGACTTTTTTCCCCTTTGGGAATGGGTGTAGCCAGCACGTGACGCACCTGGCCTGCGGGCCGCAAGATTGACACCCCTGATCTAGAGGAACCCACATACATAATATTCAATCATCTTGGTAAAAAACAATTAAGTGCACGTGTATATTGCTCTTCTAGTAGTCCAATTGCTAGATTCATAATAAAGGTATTTTCTGTTACATTTTCAGACAATAACAACACAACCTAATAGCTAAATATGGGCCTCTTGGAGGCCTCCTTCAACCCACTCTAGCCAGAGCAGCCAGTGGGAGAGGCAAGATTTAGGGTTTCCTTGTATTCCATACTATTAGACAGAATGTGAGCAGATTGCTACTTCAGAAAATGGATACGAGGCAGCATCTTGGCCAAGTCTTCAAGAATTTGACTGGGAGGGGAAGTGTGATTCCTTTCATAAGGACGGCAGAATGCCACCCTCACCCAAATAGCGGGAATAAAGATACACTCCTGATACAGCTTCTGCAAGCCCTCCACTGCTGTTTGGAGCTTGCAAAATTATCATTTCAAAGCTCACGCAACTCAGGAGCTATGCTCAGATAAGAGTCCCTCAGCACAACACTGCCTTCTTTCTTTTCTAATATTAAATTACCACTTCACCCTATAAATTCTCAAGGGGCTGGTTCCAGTTAGTAGAATGATCAGTTCCCACAAATGACGAATCTCTGAGAGGCTTAGACTCAGATCTTAAACTTGATAGTTTCCCCTCACCCAAACCTGCACACATCCTTGTTAATTATTACCGAAAAACACCAAAGCCATTGCTATTTCCCCCTTTGCCCCTAATAATGTATTTTATTAGTAATCTTTTAGTCTGAATTTCATTTAAAGCAATCAAAAAATGATCTGGATTTCCCTCCTCTTATTAAAAGATGACAAGTAAAATTAAAGACAAAATATTATTTTCTTTGTAAATTCTCAGTATCATTTTTATTTTTTGATGGAACTAGATATAATATTCAGGCTGTGTTGTTTTTCCTGAGGGGATAAATGCTGCCATGTTTTACATGTTTACATTCAAGTTTTTTATGGTTTCCAACTATCATAAGGAACATTGATTTGTGGCTAATGGAAAAAACAGTTAGACAAGTGGTCAAAGTGAAACTATGAAACTGTATATCTGTTTAACAATCAGTGTTCTTTTAAAAGTGTATTTAACCTATTTATCTTTATTTAATGTAGGACATATATAATAATGACATATATAATAATTAATATATATTTGTATATTAGTCCCATTCAAGTCAAAAATTGATTTCCCCCACAACTGAAAAACCAGTAGGCCAGGGATGGGGAACCTTTTATGGCTCACTCAGGAATTCTGGGAGTTGAAGTCCATAAGTGATAAAAGAGCCAAGTTTCCCTACCCCTGGTATAGTGTGATGTTCTTCATCTTTGATTCAGTAGACATTCTTATGAAAAAGCTTCATTGTTGTTATCTTCAAGCTAATGAACAATTTGAGTTTCAGATCTTTGATTATACCTTCAAATTTTCCTGTTCTTACAAATGCTATTAAAATGTGCTTTAAATTATGGCAAACATGGAAACTAGCAGCACAAAAACAAAAGGATTTGCTTCTGTGTACATTATTAGGCAATCTTGTTACATGTATTCATAACTATTTACAAATAGTGCAATGTATCTTGGCAGAATAAGCTATTTGTAGTGATGCAGAAGTGGGCACGGATTAATAAAAAGTAGCAGTACTGTGAGTCAAATTGTATCTGGCATTGGCAATAATAGGAACAGTGTCCTGCTTTTGTGCAATTGAGTTAGCACAATATACCTACCTGCCTAGTTCACTTACTCAAGGCTCTTGTAGCAAATTAATGTACAGACATTTCTGAACTATACAGTTTCGTTAAACTGAAATGTCCCAGTATTATGGCCTTAGAAGGCAGAAAGCTGCTGTCGCACCTTTAATAGGGAAACAATTCAACACTACGGTATCTATAGTTATCAAAACACCGGGGCGACAACGGGGACACCTTTGTTTTCACAAGCAAAAATTATTAAAAAGAAACCAATCAAAACGAAGGGGCAGGAGAGCTGGGGCATTAAAACTCACATCCCAAGCCATCACAACTTGAATCATTACCACCATCATAAATATTTTTCACGTTGATAGCTATCAGAGCCGCCAGAACCAAGAGACGCGCCCAAGGTCATGCAACACGGCACACACCGCCAGGAAGACTACTGCAAAAGCTCCGCTCAGGGACGCTTCTGCCTCGCCGCCCACGCCCATGCCTTCCCCGACGCAGCTCGGTGGGGCAGCATTTCGCCTTCGGAGTAGCAACACGAGATTGGTGCTACGCTTCCCTCCGTCCCGCCCCCTTACCTCTCTTTCTAGGGGTCCAGAGTCAAGGGGGAGGAGTGATCCACCGGTTCCGGACCCTCCGGCTCCGGAAAGGGGCAGGGCCACAGCGCCCAGATGCTTGAAAAAAGGGCAAGCTTTTGTAAGTCGAGAGGATCTCGTTCGCGCGTCTTTGGGATGCTCGCTCTTTGTCCTTTGCGAGTGGGAAACCACGCACGCGTCCCGTCCCGTCCCCCCGTCTGTCTGGCGCTCACGCAGCTCTTCTCCCCCGCTCGCTGCCGTTACTGCTAAGGACGTCGCGGCTTGATTCTCTCATCAACGGCCGCCACAACTCTCCCTCGGCTCCCGCTCGCGGACACCGCGAGTCAGCGCTAGAAAAGGGTGGGCTTTCGTATCCAACCACGTCCTTCTGGAAAGTCACGTGATTGGGCATCCTCAGCACGGGGCTGAGGTAACAACTGGGAGGCGCCGCCCTCCGCTTCTGCGGAGACCTGAGCGGGAGGCCTTCCTCGCGTCGCTTAGCTGTTGTGAGCTTAGTCTGTCGGGCGGTTTTGCAATTCTTCCGAAATCATCGGTTATTTCGTGTTTAGATGAACTTAGTGTTTCGGGAGAGGTTGACTTACAACAATAGTGCAGTGCCACCGCAATAAATAAATAAATATCCGAAATAGCAAATGTTCGACGATCTGGATCGCACTTTTAGACTCAAACTGTTTCACGGTGCTTTATAGCCCTCTCTAAGCAGTTTACAGAATCAGCCTATTGCCTCCAACAAAACGTTGCTGAGGTCTTTTTATCATACGGTAATAACGAAACTTGTCTCGGCGGGGAAGCGTGGCCTCTGAAATATTGATTAGACAAAGCACATTCAATTCATTTTATGTTACTTGAATGTAGAATACACTAAAAAGCAGTCACGTTTTACTTTGCTGGTGCACGTAAGGATCTCCCCCAAGACTTTGAAACTCATTTGGAACCTTAAATTATTATTACAGAAATCTTAAAAAAAGCAGAACATTAGTTGAAATAAAATTACCTCAGATTAGCTAATTGCTGGCAGAGGGGAAAGAGTAACTTAATGTGTGTTCTATGTACTTCTTGGAAATATTTGGTATTTATTCCTTTGTTGCATTCACTATAAATCTATTTTTTAAATTATGTTTTATGTAGCTGAATAGTTAAAAAGAGTTTTTAAATGGGCGTCTGGGATTGAGTTACCTTACAAGTTGAAAAATTAATGATTTGATAGTTTAGTTCTTTCAGTTCTAATGCTGTTAATTATAATTTTTAAATGGATTGCTGTTATTGGAACAGCCTATAATACTGATTAGCAGAACAATCTAAAATTAAAATACCCAAACTCTTTGTTTTGAAAAATGTGTGCAGATGCTTTCTGTTTAGTTCTTTATTCATGGTTTTGAAAGAAAAGAATTTGATAAAAAGGATGTAACTTAGTTTTGTTAAAAAAAAAATTGGAATATAAAGAAGCATTATTAAAAGTCCCATGGGATTTGTTTTTTAGTTTTATAATAATGGCAGAAGGAACACATATTTCTAATGACATAATGGAATTTTTGGAGATGTGAAATTTTGCATTTTGTATGTTACCTTAATGCAGGAGTGTCAAACTCAAGGCCTGGGGGCCGGATCCGGTTTGCAAGGTGCTTAGATCTGACCTGCGGGGGTCACCGTGGAAATAACGAAGGATCAGCCTGTGGTACCTGGGTCTGCAAAAATGGAGCTCACAAGGGCTGTGCGCGGCCCTCCCAAGCTCTGTTTTCGCTGGCAGAGGGTTTCAGGAAGTCATCACAGCTGAAAACAAAGCTTGGGAACCCGTTTTCACTGGCGGAGCACTCGGGCCACAAGTGAGGTCATGCTGGCCACGTCCATCCCAGCCCCCAAGATCAAACACAACCCTAATGCAACCCTCAATAAAATCAAGTTTGACACCCCTACCTTAATGCTTCTCCGTTTACATCTTTTAAGATAGCCTCAAGAGGCTATTGTACATGAATAAAAAGAGCATTTTTGTTAGGCTTTAAAAGAAAAATGTGCTGCATCTGAGAAACCAAGTATCTTCCAATTACTTCTCATGTTAACATAAAAGGAAAAAAAAGTTTAGGTTTGTAATATAGTAGTCTTTCCAATTAGCATTTTTGTTGCTATAGTATCTATTACTGCTAGTAATATTTTCAAATTTTCAAGATCAACAATCATATATTCAGAAACTATATTCTAATAGTGGTATGTCAAGATACTATTATAATAATGTTTATTGACTTTGCCCAACAAACCACAGTTCATGTTTAAATCTATTATAAGCTATTACCCTATTAGCAACCTGTTAGAGCAGGGCTGTCAAACTCACGTCATGGTGACTTCATGTGATGTATTAGGACTTTTTCCCCCTTTGCTAAATCAGGCATGGGCGTGGCCAGTGTGTGACACATGGCTCCTGGGCTGGGAGTCTGACAGCCCTGTGTTAGAGGCTGTTATAAGTGAGACATGAATTAACCTTAGCCAGAACTGTTCCATCTTAATAATTTCATTTGTATTCTTGCCTGATACAGCCATTGTTAGAATCGGCAGTTAGCTAATGTCTGCTTTAACGTTTGCCAGTAGAAACTAAAGTTGATCACAAACATCTAAACACATGTGTCAATCTAGCTGAAGATTGTGGTAATCTTGCTAAGAATCTTTGTAAGTGGCCCGTTATTAGAAAAAAGGAAGGTAAGGTATCATTTAGCTGTGATCAACATTGCTGGACAGAAGTCCAAAGGTAAAGCAGAGTTTAGCATGTCACGGTTAACTAATTAAATGCATCCCTTTATGGACAGTACATTTTACTATGTATGCTTAGGCAGTGGTGGGCTGCAACTGATTTTACTGGTTCTGTGAGTGTGCTTTGTGCATGCAGCATTCAAAACACAGCAATTTCAAGCTCAACTGCTTACTTTCTAGGGCAGCCCCAGTAAGTAGAACAGATGAGATGTGGAAATCAGCTGTGCCGTGTGAGTCAGCTGAGCTGGAAAGAAGGAAATATAGGACAGGATAGGGCGGGAGTGAGTGGGTGGGGCCAGCTGATGGTCAGAACTACCGCTTCACTAGGACCGGTCCAAACCGGCAGCAGCCTACCACTGTGCTTAGGTAAAAATAGGAACTAATGATACACAGGTGGAACCTCTGGTCACGAATGCTTCCATTTACAACCAATTCAGGTGAGCAAAGGTTTTTATGTGAAAGGGTGCTCAGATGGCGACCAAACACAGGTGCGGCGATTTGCTGTTCCATGCCAATTTCCCCTAATGCGCCCCGCCATATTTTTGGGGGTGCATGCTCTTCCGGGGATGTCAAAATCAGGTGACGACTGAATTCTCGGAATGGATTACGGTTGTCACCTGAGATTCCACTGTAGTGGTTTTCTTATAAAAGATGCTGATTTTCCTCATTTGGGTCTGTTTGATTTTTAACTTGGTCCTGAGAACTTGGTCCTCTTTGCTTCTGCACAGAGATAAAGTGTTAAATTCCACTTTCCATTTGCCTTGACTTCTTACACTAGGTGAAACAAACCCATGGGAGTATGACATGAGTCAACATTCTGGTTAGTACAAACAGTACAGTATATGAACTAATTAGTAATCTGGCAAAATAATGTATGGCTTAATTTGATGTGAAAATTTTGTATATTATGCATATACATTTCTCCAACATGAAACTTCTGGCTTTATTTTGCATTTTTGCTGATGCTGTGCTAGTTTTCTAATTATAAATAATATTTACAACCTAAATATTTAAACCACCTAATAATAGAATTGTGCCAATAGCAATGCATTACAAGCATAGATGTGAACTCACTGAGACAGGTACATACCGAACATCACAAAACAAAATACAAGTTGATGCAAGAACAAATGGAATCCATCAGCCTCCATGGTGGAACCAACAACAATTTTGCTCTTGCCCATCTCCAGGCATCTTACCCAAGCAAAGCGTTAATCTTGCTTGCTTTGCAATCATGATTTTGAAATGGAACACACAAAAGAGAGAAAAAAAACCTTCATATAATACAACATCTGCATAACACCCACATATGAAACTATTATTAAAAAGTATCATTGCTAGTCATCCATAGGATTAAAGGCTACATTAAAATGTGTATATACATTAAGGTGTGGATGCAAACCACATCAACTCTCTTCTGGTCCTCTGGTAGCTCTCCGGTGCTCCAAAACCTTTGAAAGATACAATTCAGTGATTCCAAGATCACATCTTCCAGCTCTTTCAGAATTCTGGGATGTAATCCATCTGATTCTGGTGTTTGAACTTTAGAATGGATTGGTGTTGTCTTACCATTGTCTTGCCTATTTTAACTTTTTTGACTTTTGACTTTATTTTGGCTATTCTGACCCTAATTTCATCAACATTCCCTTGGCTTTCTAATACTAATTAGTATGTGAAGTCCTTACTTTGGGGAAGGGTGTTTTTTCACTCCTACATAATTCATTTTAAAGTTTTCATAGTAATAATTATTATCACTTTGGTGAAGGATATGTTTATTAGGCCTTGTGACATGCAACGTATAACAGAAGGCCATCATCTACAGAAACCAAGTTCTCAGAAATTAAATGTATCTCTTGACATCTTCATAAATATTCACTTGGATTATTTTTTTTCCATTTCTGTTCCTTTTTACAGAGAAGATGGATGAGAACATCACCTGTGCCCATGGGAGTTGAGCTTTCTTCCTGGAGCTTAATATTTCATGGTGGTAACAATTCTTTGCTCACATGTTAGTCAGAATGATTCAGTCAACTGTGATAGGCAATACATTTCATGAGCTGATGAGTACAGTTGGCACATATTTATTTTGGTTCCTGATAAGAATCATCATTTATTACAAGTTTATCTTTCTTTTTTGCTATTAGGTTTTCAAACAGTGTCTCTTTTCCTACTCTGTTTTCCCAAAAATATGACCTACCCTGAAAGTAAGCTTGATTTTTATATGTGCAACCGATATAAGCCCTACCCTCAAAATAAGCCCTAATTAAGATCCTGCCCATCCAGAGTTCACGGGTAAAAATTAAGCTAAGGTGGGGATGGGGGGGTGGAGCTACCCTACTACTTACCTTTGGATAGTTGTAGCCAGGCCTCGCACACCCTGACACCTGGTTTGCTGGCCCATTTCTTCTGCAGCCCACAAGACTGGCAAGTCTTTCCTGAAGGCCTCTGTAGCTGATAACAAACTATCG